AGCCACGTAATTATTCCAGCACTGCTTTTCATCCTTTTTTGCCCGCTAATACGTTGAAAAGCTCCTGAATAGAAGCTATGGTTAAATGAAATAACTAGGCCTCTAGGGGAAGCCTGAGAGGGAAGCCCAGGCTTCTCAATCCTCATTCCCTGTCGGGCTTACCCTGGGATCTATCCCCGACCTTCACCTTCAGCTCCTTCTCCGCGTCACTGTGGGGACTAAAATTCAGACACGCGCCTTTCGAATGTAGCCTGGTCTAAACTTAACACCAATTGAAAAGGAGATGGGGGAAGAGGTAGCAACAAATGGAAAAAAAGAAAAAGAAAAATTAAACATGCAGTAAGCAGTTCTCTGCGCTTCACGCTACAAATGTAGGTAAGCTTTACAAGCTGCTGCTCTCAAAAAGCCTATAGTGAGCTTTAGCGGCGGCGAGGNGGGGGGGGTGGTGGTGCACGTAGGTTGTCTTCCATGGGTCTGTTACGTAAGTTATTACCGACTTCAGTCCATTCGCATACGGATCCGATAAAGCTAAGTTTGCTTTGTTTGCTTTGAATACATTTCGTACATCGACTTCCATCTCAAAGTTTGACTAATGCGTGGTTTCGCCTTACATAAACTTAAAACGTTGTAAAAGTTCGGCAAAACTGTCAAGCTCCGTGAGTGATGACGCCATCTGTGTGTCTAGCTATACTCGTATTGAAGGTAAAAACTAGCCACTGAGAATGGGGCAGTTATTATAAATTGTCTGTTGAAGATGAAAACGTATTGCCACTAGTGTTGTGTATCAGTGAAAACGACACATTTGTAATGGTAATGTTGTTTAAGGACGGTTAACAGGTCAGTAAAATTATGTAGTCTGAGAAAGTAGTCTGCTGTTAAATTGTTTTATGCGATCGCGTGTAGTGTTTGCCCTGAACTGTCACAACACCATTGTATGGCGTGTCCGGCCTATGACAACCCTCTTTATCAGAAGTAAACAAGAAAGAGACACAAATCGAAGACTTGAGGGTAGACTTGTCTAGGCCCCTCTTTGTCGTAAGCTTGAAAATCGAGAATTGCTAAGGAGCGGGCAAAGATGACCACACGACTTTTTTTGTCTTTTTTCGCTCTCGCTCTTTCTCAACAAAGGAATTAATAAGAATAGCTCGGGATCGTCTTGCATTTCTTGCAGCATGCTTGCGGTTTCTTGCGCTCAGTTTTCCACTTTCTTGCGTTTCGAAAATTTCTTGCTGGTAAAAGGTAAACCCCCGGTATTCTCACTTTAATATTGCGCCTGCCTGAGTAATCTTGCACTAATTCTTGTGCGTGCATTATTTTGGACTGTAATGTAGTCGGCTAACCATAGTCTCTCTGTTTAATTTTGCGAGCTCAAATCAAACAAATACAAACTAGTATGTGATTGACAGGTCGATTGTCTTCAATGAGACGATTACTGTAGGTTAACAATTTTCCGAATAATAATATTCAGTCTTTGCCTAATTATTTGTACCCTGGATATATCAAATAATACGGACTCGACTTCTTATCCTATATAGAACTAATATTCTTATACTTTCGCTTTCTTCAATCGAGATAAGTATAAAATATATAAACCTTAACGTATTTTTAGATTTATGTGGATATCTAGAGAATATAAAATCTCACAATTTATCTTTCACGGTATGTTAATTCTAATGACGCAGCTAACGCGAAAAATTTCTCGCGCGCCGCGGTGACTCATCTAGAATATTGCTTCTACGTTACCTTCTAATCAAATTTCAATCGTGTAAGTCAAGGAAACAAACGTTTTGATCTAGATTGCCGCTTCCTTGTTATCGTGAGAAAGTTAAGATTTTTGCGCAAAAGAGTCAAACTGTATCGGGTCAGCTATGAAATCTTCCGTACCTCGTGTCGGCTTTCGTTTCGTGGCTGTGTTCGTGTTGGACTTGGTTTTTCAGGGCGCCTTTGCCATGGAAGATTCGCATCATGAAGATCAAGTTGCTGAAAAAAATCCCCTGCGATTAGATAAAAGATCTGTCAGCAAAAACTCGACACCCAACATGCCGGACATTCTAAAACGACTAAAAGCCTTGGAGGAAAAGTGGGTAAAGTTTCCTAATTTTTCAGTCCATTTGTAATCATCTTATAGCAAAATCAAAGCTCGCGAACTGAACGACAACGTGAAAAGTTTCTTCATAAAATCTTTTTGAATTTAATGCTCTTGCGCTTGCCCCAAAGGAATTGAAAATGATCACAGGANTTACTGTAGTTTGTGTAGTTACAGTAGTTTGTGTAGTTACAGTAGTTTGTGTAGTTACAGTAGTTTGTGTAGTTACAGTAGTTTGTGTAGTTACTGTATTTTGTGTAGTTAGTGTTGTTAGTGTAGTTACTGTAGATTGTGTAGTTACTGTAGCTTTTTATAGTTACTGTAGTTTATGTAGTTTCTATAGATACTGTAGTTTGTGTAGTTACTGTAATTTGTATTGTTACTATAGTTTGTGTAGTTACTGTAGTTTGCTTAGTTACTGTAGTTTGTGTAGTTGCTGTAGTCTCTGTAGTTACTGTAGTTTGTGTAGTTACTGTAGATTTTGTTTTTACTGTAGTTTGTGTAGTTGGTGTAGTTTATGTAATTGCTTCATTTTGTATAGTTGCTTTAGTTTAGGTAGTCGCTGTAGTTTATGTAGTTAATTTTGAGTTTGATTTGTTGATGCAGTGTCTCGTTATGTTCTCGGATAATATATATAGTTAGCTTATTCGTCCATTTTTTTTATTTTTATTTTTAGAATTGAAGCATTGCTGAAGCCAAAGTCAAGTGATTCTTGGTTTTTGGGTCACTTTCTAGGTTTGCTCATAAGACTATCAGTCATGATGTGATTAGTCTTTGAAGATTATTTATATTTTCTCTTTCTTTGCCTGTTGTATAACTTCTCTTTTAAAGCTTACTTTTAATCTGTAGCCCTAAAGTTACGTGGTAGCTAATTCCATTATGTTTTTTTGCTTTTCTGTAAGAAAATGACTCTATATAGTATTCTTTACGTTGTTCATTGCTACTTGGGTTATTTAAGATGGACCTTTCTGGGTGAGCAACCTATTAAGGTTTGTCTTTTTCCACGATCAAAGATTTCAATTTTTATTAAGTGCTTATTGATGGACTATTGTTCTCTTATTACTTTGAGTGCGCAATTTTTTCCACGCAGGTGCCCCACTTTTGTTGATTATATTTTAGGGCGCGATGACCGAAATGATGGAAGGGGTTTAGTGGGACCTCCTGGCCCTCCTGGTAAACCCGGACAAATCGGGCCAAAAGGTAAGCCTATACTAGTAAAGTAGCGGAGGCGCAGTGGCCTCATGGTTAGGGGGCTGGATTCTGGGTCGAGCTGTGCGGCTTGAAACGCCGACTGGTGTCATTGTGTTTTAATCTTGGGCAAGACTGCTTACTCTCTGACTTCCTCTCTCCATCTCGGTGTCTAACGGTAAGTGGGTACTGGCCAGATTAATGATAGGGGGTAATCCTGTGACGAACTACCATCCCATCTATGAAATTAGTTAGAAAGTAACTGCCAGTATTTAGAGGAACATAATTATGGTAAAATATAATAAGAAATAGATTCTAAGACACTTGCATGTACAGTAATGTTGGCCGTCTAGTTTCGTTTCCTATGTATCTATTTCATTAGAATATCAAGAGTGCCCAGGTGTAATTAAGATCGAGAAAAGTGACGAGAGCCAGATATTGATCTAGATTTGCCTGTGTCTCTGATGAAAGAGAATATTATGCCTGAAGATGCACAGAAACCACTGAACCTCTGGGCCTGGAGGCCAGAGTTACAGCAAATAATGTCAGTAAAATATGCACTTATAGCAAATGAACACTACAGTATAAGGTGGAAATCGTTTTGACAGCTACTTCATGACTCGCCGGAATTACTTCTTTTTCCGTATTAGTCCGCCTACAGAGACAACAAGCGATTCTCATGATGCCATTGACTACAACCACCAGATCGAGATCCTCGCTTTTCCCCCCCTCAAGCCTATTACGGTCTTTGCCATATATGTCTTGACATCAGTATGGTTTAGGTTCTCATCTTCCATCTGGGTTTCGCGTTTCATTCCATGCCATCTTGACCCTCTGGTATAAAGCAGTTAGTTTTTACTTCATTGCAGGAGAGGTTGGGAAGCCTGGTTCCAGTGTTTCTGTCCCAGGTACCCCTGGTCAAAAAGGAGATCGCGGAGCTGTAGGAAGGACTGGAGCACAGGGAGCGAAAGGAGAAAGAGGACAAACTGGGAAGTCTGGGGTCAAGTATGTTCGGTGGGGAAGGACCACTTGTCCCAGTGGCGCTGAAATCGTTTATAAAGGTACATGAAGTGATCAGCTTACGAATCGGCTGTTCTAGAGATTTTCTAATAATCAACAATCATAACAAAATAACGAAACATAACAAAACAACAAAACAAGTTACAATGTTTACGATTACCACTTCTTACAGAAGAAAAGCGAAACAAAAAAGTAGTCATGATTTAGAAGATACTGCCTACAGTACATTACCGAAATATACAATTTTATCTTGCTGGAATAAAGTATACAAAGAAAACTATCAGGCCCTAAATTTTAACAAAAATTAATAAACAGCAAAAATAGAGGGAAAAAACTGTAAGGTAGCTATTCTATATAAAATTAATAAAGAATTCTTTTGGCTTGTTGCTTGCTGCCCAAAAATAATCATCAAAAATGACGCTCACACTGTCGGTCAGCAGATGCAGATGGCGGACACAGGATAGGTAATTGAAGTTGATATTCGCAACTTGCAGAAAGATCTAAGTCGATGGAAGTCAAATACAAAAACACTTCTCCATTATTCACGTGAAATAGATATATAAAAAAAAAGACCAGATACAAGTATAGTAGGAAAAAGTAGAAAACTAGAAAAAAAAATGGTTGCACATATTTTTAGAATAATATAACTTTTTTCATCTATTAGGTATAATTGTTGGTGAACATTACACTCACCAAGGTGGTGGAGTAAATTATCTTTGCCTTCCTCACAATCCAAAGTACGACAAGTACAAAGATGGATTACAGCTTTCGGGATACGTGTTTGGCACCGAGTATGAAGTCAGCGGTTTCAACCCATTTAAGAAAAACCTCCATAACCATGATGCCCCGTGCATCGTCTGCTTCGTTAAGTCACGTGGCTCAATGCTTATGATGCCCGCACGGAATGATTGTCCATCTGGCTGGACCAAGGAGTATCATGGGTACCTGATGACTGAATACTACCAACACAAAAAACAACGTGACTACATTTGTGTTGACGAAGATGCAGAGTATGTCCCCGGTAGTCAAACTGATAAGAATGGCGCGTTACTGTACCCGGTGCAAGGAGCTTGCGGCGCTCTTCCGTGTCTTCCATATGTCAACGGAAGGGAGTTGACCTGTGCTGTTTGTTCCAAGTGACGATATTGAAGGGTTATCAAAGGGTTCCAACGAAAAATTGTGCAGAATCGAGACTTGATAGACTCATTCTTAGACCATGTAGACTCTCGTGATTTAAAATGACGTAAAACTAAAAGAAACTATAGATATTTTAGACCGGTTAATGTAATCGACATGGCTAAACTGACGACATGTATGGATATAGAGGGAACGGACGAAAACGAAATTAAATAATTGGTTACTCAACAATACTTTTAGTGGTTTTTCGTTTCAACATACAGATTTAAATCCATCTGGTTCAAAGGTTCTTCCAGTTCGGCAGCGTTATCCCTTACGGAATTACGTAAAAACATAATGAGGTTTCAATGCATATATAATTTGTGCGCTGTTTCTTTTTTCTTTCTTTCTACTTTTCTTTCTCTCTTTTTCATTCCCCTTTTCTTTTGGCAGAGCTCGTAACGCGAGTCAAAACATAAATGAAGAGTGCGGTTTTGTAATCCGGAGGCCCTTGGTTCAGATCCTCCTCCTTGCCACTCGATGGATTTTTTGTCGGTGATCCTCCACGCTTTGTGTATAGCTAACTGGTCTGCCTCCAGCCAGTTGGGATTTTTAACGAGTTTTTCTTTATTTAACAAATTTTTTGTTTATTGAAAGGTCGCTTACACAATGTAAACTACTGGGAAAACAATAATTGTGTTTACCCCATAAAATTATTATTTTTATATTTTGCATTTTTTTGAACGTGTAAACATGCATGACGAGCGAATTTTTACGTAAATGCATTTGCCCAATTATTTTTCGCGTTTTTGAAAGATGCACGAAAAGTCAATAAACACACTGTTTCGAAATCACCAACGTGTTGTCAGATCACGAGAGGAAATTGTAGCAAGCAAGCGAGGTCTGGGCAGTAAAATAGCGAGCACCTTCGCTTACTAGGTTCTATTAGATGACTTTGGATGGCTCACTGTTTTGAAAAATCATTCATATTCAGTGTGAAAAACATGGAGGTCTTTTTAAAGATCGGTCGAAATTTTGCTTCCTATCTGTTCCTACTTGTTATTACGGGCAGTTTTACCCTGAGGAATGTGGATAAACGTGATGGGTATATTCTACCCGATGTTACGGAGCTATTCGTAGCAAAATCCTTGTCCACTAAAGCTACACAAGTTTCGACTTCGATTCGGAGCAAGAGACCGGTCATGGCAAAGGAAAACAATCACCTTCAAAGTCTTCAGTTTCTCCGTCTTACACGTAAGTTTGATAGGAAATTTGTGAAGAAATATATATCAATAAATGGATGATTTGAACCATTCCGCCGCATTCTAAAAGAAACCTCTGGTGCCCATGGAACCCAAGGGAAGCAGTGAGTTTTGTTTCCCCGAGATCCTTAATGTTCCCCGAGGTGAAGCCTTATATAATGAAAGAACCACCCCCCAAAATTAATCTAAATAAGCATCATAAGGCAGCTATGGGGCTACATAGTAATGACATGTTAATGACCTTTTAACCAATGGGAATTTTTCATGTTTGGAAAAAGAGAGAATGCAGTTTCTTAAAAAAAAGTCCTCAGACCCTCTTTTCTCCCCCTTAATCCGCCCCTTTGCGTTTTGGCTCGTTCGTATCCCACGCGCCGGGTTAATATTTTGCTAAGCTTGCGATCTCGACAATCAGAATTTATCCCAAATAGTTGTTTATCATTCTTTGTCCTACTTTTCTCTTCAGTAAACTGGTGCGAAGCCTTGTGGAGCTCTCGATATATCAGTTGCAAAAAATTTCTCCCAATAAAAATACAGGATTTGTAGCCAGATAAAAATTTTCGCAGGTTTTTTTTTCACAAGCATGTCGTTGCCTAGTAATAAAAAGGATCGGAAAAGGTTTGACCTGTGTGTAATATATTTCTCTTTAAGGTTACGGCCATGAATAGCGTACCTTAATCCTTTTTTCTTCGGCAAGGCCGAAATGTGCTGCTGGATTAGAGAGATCAGCGGACCCCAGTGTATTGAGAAAAGAAAAGGATAGGCAGCCTAGTGGTCAGTCTCAGATCAAGAGACCATAATCATGGTCTCTTGATCAGATACAGTAGAGTTGGTGTCAGTTAGAAGGTTCTCTGATCAAAGTCAACAAAAAGCTTGGCGGTCAACCACCTCAACCTCGTTCCCACCAGACTGCTCCACTCCCTGGAGCCGGGGGAAGACCCTGGGAACGAGGTTGCTAACCGCGCCGCACGCTACTGGTGGACGCTTCCATCATTTTCGACTTGTAGCTGCTTGCATCAGGTCACTTGGATTGGTGAGTGGTGTAAGCAAGCATCAGGCTGCGTCAGCAAGGACCGCCTCAGAGCGATTCTTGTCAAGATGGCTAAATCCACCGTGGTTAGGATGCTTGTAATTGCAGTCTTGTTATTTATTCTCGTGGAATGACAAGATAAGTGATAACGTGGCACGATGGAATATATGCGTTCCCCTTTACGTACAAGCGCATGGTATATCATAGTTTTTATGTTTTAGTAACTGATTTATGTTTTGTCTTGGGCTGATTAAGGTGATTCCCTAGTAAAAGAACCCACCATAGATTTCCGATGAAACTTGGTATGCTGTTGTTACACGGACAAGGATATATACTATCAAGGATATATCAAAAACGTAGTAAAAAGAGGGGGTCACCGTGCTTGTTTTCACACCACGATGCTGATAAATACGGTTATTTAGGTGACTTTGGTTATCTCCGTGCGCAACAAATAAACTCGATTATTTTTCAATGCAGCGTGTTATATCACAGAATTCGACTTTCTTTGATTGTTTATTCATCTACGTCCCAGGAAAAAATGCCTTCCAATACCCTGCATTTTTTCATTCTTTAAAGGAAACATAATTTGGACATGCGCTGTTGGGCCCGTTATGTCTTCCTCTGTAGTATTTATTTCATTTGCCAAAAAAGTAGCCATAGATTTCTGCTAATTTTGTTCTCAGTTATTGAGGATATTGTTCTCATTGAAATTATGAAATAAAAAATGGTGGTCACTGTGCTCGTTTAAGAGAAAAGAAGCATTTATTTCGCTATCGAGCCTAGTTTGAGGGAAATCTCTTACGTTTTGTACGCGCACGCGCTTATGTACGCGCGCTAATGACGCGAAAATCGTGCGTAGTAGGAATGTGCAATGTAATACTAAGGAATCACCTTAAGCATCGGTGGTATGCTATAATTTTGCTCTGGTTTAGTGCAAGCTATATCGGAACGCATTTTCCCCTGACCCAAGGACTTTTTCATGATCGATCTGAACCGAAATCACGCTACCCTGCGTGGTAGAGATTGTCTTCCGACTTTCTGCTCGGCGGTGGATACGATACGAATACGTCACAATGTTGCGTGTGTCGCAGTTTGTCATCAGTTGTGGCAAGTTACTTGAATCGACTTTTTTACCTTTTATTTCTTAGAAAAACCAATGAAATTTCGCAGAAATCTGCAAATTAACGATCGACAAAGNTCGCAGTTTGTCATCAGTTGTGGCAAGTTACTTGAATCGACTTTTTTACCTTTTATTTCTTAGAAAAACCAATGAAATTTCGCAGAAATCTGCAAATTAACGATCGACAAAGAAAGAGACGAATTAGACCAAAATTGGCTTCATTCAAAACCGCGTGGTCCAGTGCGTGCCTCGCAAACTTCAAGCTAGCTGCAGATAAACTACCCTGACTGAAAGAGATTCATTTATTTCTGCTCGATGAGAGACGAGAGGGAACCTCTGCTCGCAACCGTCCGATTTTATACCATGCATGCGTATTCTAGGTGACAATGTCGCATGCGCCGTGCATTGTCATGCGAAATGTTTATAAGCAACTATTATTATTTTGTTATTTTCGGGTCAATTGTGGCGAATTACTTGAATTTCGACTTTTCCACCGTTTATTTCTGGGAAAATTTCCAAAGTTCTGCAAAGCAATCAGCGACAAAGAAACAGACGAATTAGACCAAAATTTGCTTCATCCAAAATCACGCTGTCCAGCACGGGCTTCGGAAAGTTAATCTGCAAGTTACCTGAAGAAAAACAACCTTTCGCATAGCAAAGCACGACACATCGGACATTGTGACGTAGCGCATGGACAACAGGAATTCTTGCGGATGCGAGCAGAGGTTTCTTTCCTTCTCTCACCGAGCAGAAAGAGCGGTTAATGTCTGTGTCGCAGGGTATATTTAGGCCTATTTTGTTTCAAGCGCACAACAAGAGATAGTTTCACCGAAGTCGCGAGATTTTTCTTTCCTCCGCCCCGAGTCAACCAGCTTTTCTTTGTCATGCCTTTTGCTTTCATCTTGCGGGTATTCCCTCACCTTTGCTGGGAACTGGTCATTTGGTTATATCCGAGTTTCACTCTTTTGGTGTAAAAACGATAAAAGAATAAATAAATAAATAAACGGCCACGTCACAAAAGCGTCCAAATTATCTTCAACGCGCTAAATAGATCCAACTTCATGAATCAAATAGCTTAAATGCGGTGTGTAGTTTTGCTGATCAGTGCATTGGTGAGTCATTGATGGATTAGCGGCATGTTAGCAGTTTTCAAATATTAAATCCATGAACTGAAAAAATGTTCTCTCAGTAATTATAAGCGTATTTTTGAAGATATTTCCTAAACAACAAAAACTGCGCAAAATGACTGCAAAAATACAATTGTATAAAAAAATCTTGCTCGAATTAGGAGCTTTTAGCCAATGCACCTTTCTGATATTCAGCAATGCTTCTTTAAGAATTGTATATGAAAAGTACAAAATGTATTTGTGTGATTACTTTACTTCACTTTCGTGATCATGAAGCATGACTGAGGTCTGGGCAAAGTACAACACTTTTAGAACTTCGCGTGGAATTTGCCACAAAGGCGGAGTAGTGGGATCGTTATCCAATTTCGTAAGCAAAAGATTTTTAGATTTCTAGCAGAAATTAAACTTGTTTACGAAAACGTTAAAATCCCTCTATGGAAAACATCCCTCTTGTTTGTACGGCAACGACGACAAGACCTAATTTAAAATCTTAAAAGTTGTTGTCACTGACTTAAAAATCTTAAAATAGACGTTTCGGCTAAAATACTATAACCTTCTTCAGCGATGAAATGAATGTTAATGGCGTCTAAATGTAAATGAGATGTTTATAAGAATGTGAGGAACTCGCTAGGGATTAATTTAGCATTTTGTAAATGTCTGGA